TTGAGCAGACAGACAGGACTGGGGACAAGAGAGGACAGGGACAGGGCTTGTGACTGTATATGTGTTCTGTGTCCTCAGACAGCAGCAGTGGGACCCGTCTCTCTGGAGGAGCAGGCTGGCTCAGACTCACATGTTGTAGTCCAGACAGCAGCTGCAGTGACGGTGGAAGTGGAACTCCTCTGTGAGTGACCGAGCCTCCCTTGGTTGGGCCTGGACTTCAGAACCAGCGACTCTCTGATCAGACAGGACCGGAGTGGGTAGGATAAGGGATGCGAAGAGGAGGGGAGTCCTCCTGCAACCAGGGCTGGGGGTTAGTATCTGAAACAGTATCGAGTCTTGTCTCATGCTTGGTTGTCTCTTCATGACTACCTGGTCTCAGTGCTTGTTGGTGGTTTCTTGTCCCAGCGTCCCTCCTGCCCTCCAGGGCTCCCTGGGCTCCTTCAAGGGTCTGGCGGAACCAGCTGAACCAGGGGAAAGGCCTCTTGGGCTCCCGGGTGGCAGAGGCGGAAGGGGTTGTCCCCCCGACCCTGATTGGTGGGGGATCTTGCTGTTTGGAGTGGCACCTTCTCCTTTACATGCACAACACTGAGGAAGAGGGATGGACAGGGAACGCAGCCAATGCGAAGAGCAGGAGACGATCGTTGTTCCTGAGCCCTCTGATGGACCGATGAAGGAGGAGAAGGGGATTGGAGGAGGGTGGGGGTTGATGATAGGGAGCCTCTGTTATTACCTAAAAACTTATTAAATATCAGAGGTGTATAGTCCTCGGTGACTCCCGTACCCACCTGATACCCGTCTTTATCTGCGATCGTACCTGGCTGGCTGGAGTCTGTAAACGTCTCAGAAGAAGCTGTTTGGGTGATAAAAGCAGTCGACCAGGGGTTGTAAACTCGGGCCTCTGGTGGGTTGTGTACAGGGGGTGAAGAGCCCGTGGCGGCCCCCTGCTTGGGTCTTGGCGGACCAGGCATGTTTTACCTCCACTCATGCTTCCAGTCTGGACAGGAACACCCCAGTATGGTTCCAGGGTGGATGGAAGAGAGGTGGTTCTCTACTGTCACACTGGCCCTGTGCAGCGGGGGGGAAGTCCTCAACCTGTGCGTCCAATCAAGACGGAGGAGGCAATAAGACAGAGCAGTCAGACCAGACACTCAGCGGACTCCCCCCCCTGCCGCCCCCCTCCCTTCCCCCCGGTCCCCCTACCCTGGGATACACCAAACCTGAGGAAGGTGAGCGACCCACAAACAGAGCTGGGCCTCAGGGTGAGACACATAAGGGTCTGTCAGCAGGTTGTTATCATTATTATTGTCTCTTTCTCGTCCAGTTTGGCATGAGAGCCTGGATGGGATCTCAGGACCAGGATGGTGAATACTGAGCGCTACAGGGTGATGGACGCAGGTTTTGGGGGTTGCCGTCAGGGTTTGAGCTGACAGGTGCACCTGTGTCCTAAAGGTGTCCTAAAGGTCCTTAAGGTCCTAAATGTGTCCTGTGTTTCAGGTTTGTGTGGTGTCTGGACTTTAAAGGAGGACTGTTCTGCAGCACTCTGCCTGAAACTGGACTCACCTGGCAGCGCTTTGAAGACAATGTCCACCAGGTGGCGTTATCACCTTCAGGTGAGCTGCTGACACCCCCCCCCCCACAGATCCTCATTTCATTGTAACATCCAGTGGTGCTGCTCCACCTGCTGTTGGTTTACTCTGTTTTTCTCTGAAGTAACTTCATCAGTTTGTCTCTGTTAAAGGAGGAAGCAGACTGGCGTACAGGTGTATGTAGCATTAGCTGAATGCTAACGGTTGCTAACTCCACCAGGTAATCTGCTGTGGAAGGTGGAGCAGAAGAGCATGACGGCGTTTGCTTGTGCTAAAGTATCCGTTAAAGGAAAGCGTCACTGGTATAAAGCTGTGGAGCAAACAGCCTTCGTGGCCCTGAGCGACGACTCCGCCTGGATCATCAGGACCAACGGAGACCTCTACCTGCAGACAGGTAACTAACTACCTGCAGACAGGTAACTAACTACCTGTCTGTCTCTCATGTTGCTGCTGGTGTGAAAAAACCAAATAAAACACACAGCGCTAGCAGCGCAATCAAGGTTCAAACTGGTATTAAACAAAGTCTACAGACAGGTGTAGTCCACAGCCGGCTCACTGTCTCCATGGCAACAGTATACGTTATAAAGGAGAGCGGCCCTGTGTGAAGCCCCGCCCCATTTTGGGTGAGAGCAGCCGCTCTAATTGGACTGGCAGTAAATGTAAATTCTGAGGTCTTTGTGGATTTAATGTCCTAAAATAAGAATTCTGTATTGATCTTTAGCTGTTAGCATCCTGAACCCAACATCAACAATCAGCGTCGTCACACAGATAAGATACATTAATAGTTATTGATCAGTGTCCTCACACATACAGATACCTTATTAACTGTTTGTGTCCAATGTGACATTACTGTAAACTAATGTCTGCATTCAATAATCTACCTTTTACTACGAGACCACAGAAGAAAACAGGAGGATTATCTCCACTTCCTGTTACTTTCTGCTGTAAAGGTTCATTATTAGAAGGTCGGTAAACAGCACATATGCATAAACAGCCCTAAAGTTGTCAGACTGCTGTTGCTCCACTGATCTATGAAAACCAGCAGGGGGCGCCCTGCTGCTGTCAGTTGTATTTTACTATTCACACTACAGACTACAGTACACTAATAATATATTAGTGTTACTGTGAGCAGAGTCAGCTCTCACATGCACGATGATTAAGATAATATGATAATTAAAATAATATGTTTCATGAGTGGAGGTAAACAGTTACCAGTGAAGTATTTTTATTTACCAGGAGAATTGGATCCTGAAAACATGTGCACAGCATTTAAAAACGTATAAAACAAATACAGAAAACACAACCGCCTTAGACCTGGAATTAACGTGAGTGTGTGAACGCATCCCAAGATGCCAGACAGGACACGCATCCAGGAAAACCTGGAAATTTAGAGAATAGTTTTCCATTCATGGAGTAAAATGAGCAAATATCCGGAAATAATCTCCTGGAACATTTCTATTGTATTCTAGCACTTCACATCGCCTTTGTATTTAGGTTGAAACTCAAACGTTACACAACCCCAACATACGAATAGAGCGGGGAGGTGACTGTTGGTGTGAGGGTGTAAACAGGAGACCGTGAGGAGCTCAGAGGAGAACCACTGCCGTTTCCATAGTAACCGCTGTGTCTGTGTGTCCATCAGGTCTGAGCGTGGACCGCCCCTGTGCTCGCTCTGTGAAGGTGGACTCTCCCTGCGTGTTCAGCCAGGTGTGTGTGAGAGGAGGCGTGGTCTGGGCTCTGAGCGAACACAAGGCTTTATTCTACAGAGAGGGACTGAACAGCTACTGCAGCGAGGGCGAAGGCTGGAAGTACGACACCGTCAGGTACTACTGCTACTGTAATACTATAATACTACTGCAAAAATACTGTAATACTGCTACTGTAATA